AACGGCCTCTCCAGCGTTTTCAAAAAGCTCCGTTTTCGGCGCTCGAGAACTCCGGCGTAGTGTGGACGGATGGCGTAACCGTAGCAAAACTTATGCGTTTTCAAACTAAAACGCACTAGTGTAAACGGGGCCTTAGTCGGATAGTTTGTCTACACATGCACTTATGCTCACGACAACACAAGTTTGATTCCTGCCTCGTGGTCCTTTGCCGATCCTTCCCTTCTCTCTGCTCCCCATGCTATCCTGTCAAAACTCTCTATTGTCCTGTCTGTTAAAGGTGAAAACCCCAGAAAAAAAACAAAATAGATAACTTAAATATATATTTGACCACCCCTAGAATACTTCGTACCAATGTGAATGCATGTTTTTGCCAAAAATATTAATTCAATGGTTTGAAACCAGCAAATCTAGAGCACCAACAGACAGCGTAAGTGTTTACAAAACATGTTTCTTGTTGAAGTTAAAACGTGAAATCAATAACATGTGCAGACTTTTATGGTCATCCATTAATAGGTGCAGGAATGCAAATTGTCTATTTAATATCACATTGTGAGAACAACTCAATATCCTTCAAAACAATGAAAACATCATAACAAGTTTGATTAATAAATGATATGTAATTGAGTTAAATATATAAATTTGGTTCACTGAGGCATATTACCGTACATAACCAAAAAACTTGACCCCCCTAATCGTCAATGTACATTCACTGGCCACTTTATTAGATACACCTTACTAGTACCAGGTTGGACCCGCTTTTGCCTTCAGAACTGCCTTAATCCTCATGGCATAGATTCAACAATGTACTGGAAATATCCTTCAGAGATTTTGGTCCAAATTGACATGATAGCATCACACAGTTGCTGCAGATTTGTCGGCTGCACATCCATGATGCGAATCTCCTGTTCCACCACATCCCAAAGGTGCCCTATTGGATTGAGATCTGGTGTCTGTTGAGGCCATATGAGTACAGTGAACTCTTTGTCATGTTCAAGAAACCAGTCTGAGATGATTCAAGCTTCATGACATGGTGCGTTATCCTGCTGGAAGTAGCCATCAGAAGATTGGTACACTGTGCTCATAAAGGGATGGACATGGTCCGCAACAATACTCAGGTAGACTGTGGCGTTGACACGATGCTCAGTTGGTACTAATGGGTCCAAAGTTTGTCAAGAAAATTTTCTTTTCTCTTTTTTTGGACTATTCTCTGTAGACCCTTGAAATGGTTGTGTGCGAAAATCCTAGTAGATCAGCAGTTTCTGAAATGCTCAGACCAGCCCATCTGGCACCAACAACTATGCCACAATCAGAGTCACTTAAATCACCTTTCTTTCCCATTCTGATGCTCAGTTTGAACTGCAGCAGATCATCTTGACCATGTCTACATGCCTAAATGCATTGACTTGCAGCCATATGATTGCCTGATTAGAAATTTGTTAACGAGCAGTAAGGCGTGTACCTAATAAAGTGGCCGGTCAGTGTATAATTCGCACCCTGCATCACGGGACCCTTGGCAGCAAACAAAATGTGTGTTTTTTTTTTATAGAGTAACTGAGTTATTTTAAGCTGAATCTTTAAACCTTTTACCCAGGACATATTTAAGTTGCTGTTTGTTTTTGAGCGCAGTCTTTGTGAAATCTTTTAGAAAATAACCAGCCTCCTGTAGCGGATGCTGGTCCAGACAAGGAGCTGACGCTGCCAGTTGATCACACCACACTGGATGGCGGCAAGAGCACAGATGACCAGAAAATAGTCACGTACCACTGGAAAAAGACCAAGTCAGTTACAAGCTCACACACAGACATGTTGGTACTGGTGGATTACAATGACTTTTCATTGGCGCAATGTATTTTATACTGCACAAACAGCTTATTATATGGCCCTAAATCTAAACCCAACTCTTGAGAGAAACCCGTGGCAAAATTTGAATGTCAAAAGATACCATTAGCTATGATATTTTAAGAATTTTGAATTATAAGGACTTCAGTCATTTCCTTATAAACCCCTGCAAAAGAGTAAAACTAGTTCACACCAATGTCATCATACAAAAATCTATCCTTGTAAACCACCAAAACCAGTACACACACACACACACACACACACACACACACACACACACACACACATACACACACATACACTCTCTGTCTTTTACTCTTCATCATTCCATGGTATATTTGCAGGGGTCCAGAAGGGGTGAAGCTTGATAATGCAGAAACTGTGGTCGCCACCGTCACTGGCCTGCAGGAGGGCGAGTACATTTTCATGCTGACCGTGACGGATGAAAGAAACCTGGAGAGCTCTGACACCGTCTCTGTCATCGTCCGAGAAGGTGTGTGTCCTTAAAGCCGTTGTGCTTTATTTTGATCTATCATGAAAATAATTCAAACAGTTTTCACCATATATTATTAAAAGTAGTTGGTTTCATGCAAACAATAGAAATTATCCAATAGCCCATAATTTAAGACTCGTGATTGCTCACTTGAGGCTAAAAGACTGTTGGTTGATTTGTTCATGCAGTACATATTATCTGTCTCGAATATTAAGCATTATTTCTATTCTCTCCAATCAGAGAATGATCAGCCACCGGTTGCAAAAGTGGTGTCTAGTCCTCCGATCACTTTGCCGGTGCGTACAGCAGTTCTAGATGGTTCTCGATCATCAGATGATAAAGGCAGCATCAGTTATCTGTGGACCCGTGAGGAGAACAGTCCAGCCGCAGGGGTCAGTTCTGCTCAGCACATTCACACTTCTGAAATAACTGCACACTGCCTCTGAAATAATACACAACTTGGTCTTGATGATGAATCTCCTCCAGAAAAGTCAACGACTCTGTTTACAAGTTTGTGAGCGTTTTAGTAATTGCTGTCATGTGATGTGCGTTTGACAGGACAGACTGTACCTCACGTTCATTTCATACTGATTACAACACTAGAAAACTTTTATTTTAAAGTTTGCTTGGTTCATTTTAAAAGTAGAGATTTCAAGCTTTCTCTGGATATATTTCTTATGTCTGTGAAGCAAGTATTCGCTGAAAATCCAACGTATTTGTTGACCACAAAATCTGTTGTAAAAGCACATGCCTGGTCTGAGCTTCTCCTCCGGAGAAACGTCAGTCTATAACGATTGAAGGTTGGTCTTGTACTAGTAGGCGTGGCTTCATTCGCCATATTGATCATTACACATTTCCTCCATTCAAAACTATACGAGTGACACGTCTTTTGTATTCTAGAGTCTTTGACATAACTAAGCATACAAAATACCAGCACATCAGCCTTGTTTACAACACTAACCAAACAAAACAAAAAACGTTATTTAGCGCCACCTGCTAGAGAAGACTGAATGTGCAAGCATTTTTATTCAGCCTCTCTACTGTTTTTTTTATTTTTATTTTTTCTCTTTGTACAGGTTTGTTTTAATCAGCATGATTTCACACACCGAAAGTTAGAATAGTATGGCTAAAATAATAAAATATATGTATGTATATACACACACACACACACACACACGTATATATATATATATATATATATATATATGTATATATATATATATATATATATATATATATATATATATATATATTATATATATATATATATATATATATATATATACGTGTGTGTGTGTGTATATACATACATATATTTTATACACACATACACACGTATATATATATATATATATATATATACGTGTATATATATATATATATATATATATATATATATATATATATATATATATATATGCGTGTGTGTGTGTGTGTGTATGTGTGTATATACATACATATATTTTTATACACACACGCATATATATATATTTTTTAATTGTTTTTTCTTTTTGTTTTTTTTCAAAAGTTGATCTTAAAAAACTGTTTTGGATTTGTTCATAATATATATTATTGATTGTTGTTTGTTTGTTTTATTGGTGGAAACCCAAAAGTGTTATTTATAGATTTTATTCTGTTTGTACTAAAAAAGATCCATTGAAGCTGATACGGCAGTAAACTCTTTCTCATCTTTATGAGCGTTCTCCTCATGTCTTATAACTGCATAAATTAGCCACAGTGGTTGGTAATGTGTTTGTTTTCTCTTCCAGGATGTCCTGAATCACTCTGACCACCAGGCTGTGCTTTTTCTTGGTAATCTGGTGGAAGGGAAGTACAGTTTCACTCTGACCGTCACTGACAGTAAAGGAAAGACCAGCTCTGACAGTGGCGTTGTAGATGTTCGGCCAGGTCAGTGTGCTTGTTAAAGAGTATCAAATTAAAATAGAATTTCTAATACCAATTAACAACTTGGAACACCCTAGCAACTGCCTGTTTGAGTTTTTCCATGGCAATCCACACTCACATTTTCTTAAAGAAATGCACATATCTAGTTTACAAAATGAACAACACACTCAGGACTGTAGATTCTGATTATTCTTCTGCTGTTCCTCAGATGTCTACGAGCGGGATTTGGTGGAGCTGATCCTGGAAGTGGCCGTGGCTCAGGTGTCCCGCAGACAGAAGGATATGTACATCAGGCAGGTCGGTGTCCTGCTGGGTGTCCTGGACAGTGACATCACCATTCGAGAGATTAGCGCCTTTAATGAGCACAGGTCAGTCCATCTTGGCGCAACTGCAGACTTAATCACAGTGCTTAACTTAACACACCATCTCCGCTGATCTGATTTAGTGGCTTCACTTCACTGAAGAGAAAATGCATGGCTACTCCTGATTCTTATTACACACATTTATGTGACCCTGGTCCCAGGTCATGACTGTTTTTTTTTATTGGAAATTGAGATTTGAGATCTGAAACCTGAATAAATAAAAGAGTTCGTATTCCCTCTTATGCCTAGTTCACACTAGAGGATTTTAAGCCTGATTTGAGCGCGATTTTAACGAGCTCGCCGACAGATCGGGCTGTGATCCGGAAGAAATCTGCGGGTGCACAGCGCTCGCCGCTCTTTATGTGTGAACTACTGAACAACGCATCAACGAGGCTCACTGACGCGTCGCCGACACCTCGCAGACCGAAATCCAACATTTAGCATGCTAAATATTCCAGAGCAGTCGGCCGACTCAACCCCACGTGTGGTCAGATGTAGTGACGAGCTACAGCCAATGAGAGAGCAGATCAGCATGAGCTGAATGCCTGTGTGTTCAGGAGCTCAGCAGAAACATCTGTGATTGGTCAGAATGGGCATCGGTGCACTCGCTTCATTCTGCGATACCACAGACATGAGAGTAGGCTATATTAACAGTGGAACTATAATTTTGTAACTATTAGAATTACCATACTGCTCATTCTGACCGTTCTCATATGAAACGCCATATTGTCACAACATATTTACATTCAAAGATATTATTGAGATATTAAAATTACGCTTTGAATGTCTGGCATCATATTTAATGACACCATTACCCTAAAAATATAATCTTTTTTTTGTAATACAGCCTATAAATATGTAGTTAAGATACTAAAACACTTAAAGGTCTTGGCTTTCATTTTCACTTTCAAACAGGAGCTTTTACACAGCACAGAATATGCTGTTTTGAAAGATATCTGAAGTAAATTAATGTTTTTGCCATCAGAAAGTTTTGTTTATGTTAGCAGGAAGTTGCTAGGCAAGAAAATGCACACATATTTAAAGTCAAAGTGAAAAGTATCAGACATGCATGCAGTCATTTTGACCAATATGGTAATTTAAGGCAGAAATGCTCAGTTATTTACTGTTTTGTAATAAAAAAAAAAAAACAATGTCAGAAAGAAATCCACTGATAGTTAGAAAACGGCAGGGTGTTATAGATATGTTAGTTTTATTTCAAAGAGTTATAAAATTACAAAAATTTAAAACTCTCTGTGTATCTATTCCCTTTGAACCTTGCAGATGAGTGATTAATCCGCTCATAAATCAGCTGATTTGACGATGTTTTTAAATGCTTTCTCCAAAGCTTGAAACGCTGTCAGTAATGTAATCAGCACACAAGCAGCCAATAGTGTTCAGCTTTTTCTGACGACTCCTCCCTCATAATTTCATTGGCTGTGCTTTGGTAGCTTGAATGAGCTGTTGGGGAATGAGTTGTTGTCAGATCATGTAGTGTGTGACCCCCCTCTTGTGGATCGTTCACAGAGTGTTGCGTAGTGTGAACACCACAGAGATCAAAAGACACAAAGTCAAGTCATGTAGTGTGAACGGCACAGCGATCTGCTGATGTTTAAAATCCTGTAGTGTGAACTAGGCTTTAGTGCGGTTCATCTGGGCAGGTGTGAATGTAGCAATCGCACTTGAGTGCACACCAAAAGCGGACCAAAAAAGCATACAAACACCTCCTTGAAGAGTTGGTCTCGGTACATTTTTAAACGTATCCTGGAGCGGTTCGTTTGTGGTGAGAACATGATCCAAACTAGAAGACGTAAACGCAAAAAAGACTGCGCCTTTTTGGACTAATCAAGCTGCCGTAGGCCGTTGTGCTGTCCCATCTTAGGGGTGTGGAGGAAATATATTTGTTGACAGCGCTTTACCAACAATTTTAAACGGAGAGAGAGAGGAAAAACATTACCTGATGGATTGTTGGTAATATTTCTGAAAGATAACCATGTAGCAGTTTAGCTAAATTAATTCACGCCTCCTCCTGACTTTAAAGCATTAAAACATTGTCTTCCAACCACAGCCATGCGTCATTTTCTAAATGTGTAGTTTGTCTAAAGTGATGTGTACAAACTATATAGCATAGTATGAGCAGGGATACAATCAGCCAGCGCAGTCGCTACACAGTAAAAAGAGACATTTTGTGTCTGCCGGTTTGTTTACTTGCGGGAGTTCCTTTGGCATTTTCCCGCACATTAATTCTGACCAATCAAACAGCAGTAAAGGAACATCTGGCCAATGAGGGGTGTGGATTTTGTCAGATGACTGCATTTTCATTCTTTTCAACTGGTTCGGATCAAAGCAATCAGTTTGGTATGAAATGGACCCAAAGACCGCACAAAAAGCTACAATGTATCATTTGTTGCCCTTTGTCCGGACCAAATGAACCAAACCACAGATATGAAACCATCCTAAATCAACATACACATTTTTTATTATTTTTTTTGTAAGATTTATTTTTGGCCTTTTTGCCTTTATTAGATAGGAAGCGAAGTGGGAGAGAGGGGGTAGGGTAGAGAAATGTCCTCGAGCCGGGACTCGAACTCGCGAAGCCCTGACGTGCTATTGCACCATATGTCGGTGCGCTAACCACAAGGCTATTGCGCCGACATCAACATACACATTCAATCAAAATTCATGTGACTGTGGTCCCGAGTCATGAGTTTACATTTTTGAAAATTGTGATTTACATTGAAAAGCAGAAAAAAAATCTGAATGCTGCATAAATAAGCTTTACATTGATGCATATGTGTACATAAACATATGTTGTTATAATACGAGAATATTTGAAATTATGGGTTAAAAAGTCTGAATACTGAGAAAATCATCTTTAATGTTGGCTAAATTAATATACACATTAAATCAAAATTTATGAACATTAGAGGTGTGAATCTGGTCTCACGGTTCGGTTATGATTATCATGCCATCAATTCGATATCTCAGTGCATCACGGTGCATTGAAAATGCTTTCCATACACAGTGTTGTATTTTGGGGGGAGGCTATAACAAGCTGTCTGTATAAACATAGACACACGCACTTGCTCGCTCGCTCGCTCGAGAGCGATATTGTGAGACCGCCCACTTTTCTTAAAATTACACCAGAGTTACCAACCGCTCCCGCACTTTGTTCGGAAATTTATTCCCGCGCCGCATGAAATCTGGTCAGGTCCCACGACAATGCACAGGTACACTCATGCAGACCTATATCCAGAAGTATCGTTGTGACAGCCAAGAGGAAAAGAGAAAAGAGGAAAAGTCATGCCAGCAGCCGAGAGGAAAAGTCATGTCAGCAGGTGAAATGGGCCACAGTGAGAGAGAGAGAGAAATGGAGTTTACTTTCATTTCCTCAATTGCAGAGAAATTGGGGTTTCTGCTGTTAGTGTCAGGGAAAAATGTCCAGAAAACACACACACACACACACACACATACACACACACGCAGTGAAATTGTGCACAGTTTCTGCGTTGTCCCCTGGAGTGTTGTAAATACCCGCGCTTGCCTCCTTCGAGACAGAGCGCATATGAGATAAATGACTTCAGTACCGAAGAAACAATTAATTTTGACACCCCTAATTAACATGGACATTACTGATAAAAAAATTTAGTTTTATATATCGACAGTGAGAAATTTACAAAATATGTTCGTGGAACATGAACTTGAGAAGTACTACTTCAGAAATGTATAATTTTAAACCAATAGAATGTAGCAAACACCTGTTGTCAGTCGGCTCACAAAATAAGACTCAAACCGTGAGGAGACCCATGATTTATTAGTTTACAAAGTTAAAATGCAAAGAAATAAACAGTAATTTAATTTCCTGCTAAATTTGTTATTCATAATTTCATACACACAAAAGCACAATTTGCTATGTCATTATGAAGATAATCATGTTTATATAAACACTATAAATGTGGAGGACTTCGTTCCTCCTCAGTCCACGGGTCTGAATGCAGACACTGTGGATAGCAGTGCAGCAGGTCTCTGGCCCTGTCTATTTCAACCATTAGCCCTGCCGGTAATCTGGAAGATATTAAACATGTGTGAACACAGCAGCATGGATATAGCCGATGTGTCTGAATGTTAACGAACTCAACTGATAAAAGTCCGTCATTGTCCAATTCTGCTACAGCTCCCCCGACAAAAATGCTAGCTGCAAACCAACAGCTTTGCTGTATCGGCCCTGACTGTATCGCGGGGAAAATCATGCAACAAAACAGGCAGCTGCCATCAGGACGTTGTTTTAGAGTTCCTATATTCAGGACAAACAAAATTAGGACTTATTTTATAATGATGGCAATTCCAATGCGGAGGGAGATGCATCTAAAAAAAATGATGTATTGTATGTTTTGTGGTGTGTACATGGAACTTCGCCTGTGTTATGTCACATTGCTGCAATTTTAGTTTTTCTAAACGAGATAATAAAATTAAGTCTGAGTTTATGACATTATTTCTTATTTTTTCAGCACTCGTCTGGTATTTCTGGTATCAGGAGGTCCAGGAAGGCCTCCATTAACTGGGCATAGTGTGGCTATGGAACTACGCAACAAATTTCGCAAGCAAAAAAACGAGTTCCTCATCTTTAAGGCCCGACGGGTGGACACAGTTAGTGAGTATCCATTTAAATGCTCTATTAACACGTGTTTTAATAGTATCAGTGCCCGTTCTTACTGTCTGATCCTCCTCCAGTCTGCCAGCTGAACTGCTCTGGTCATGGAGAATGCGACTCTTTCACCAGACGCTGCGTTTGCCACCTGTTCTGGATGGAGAATTTGTTTAGTACTTATTTTGGAGATGCTGAGAGCAACTGTGGTGAGGAAGCACTAAACTATTGAAGAAGGAAGCTTGTATGTCTTGTTTGATGATCCATTTATGTTAAATGTTTTGCTTTCAGAATGGAGTGTATTATATGTAACGATAGCATCCTTCATGATCGTGGTTGCCATAGCAACTGTAATATGGGGCTTGGTGTGCTGTTGTCGAAGGTAAGGGTTCAGCGGATGATTTTATTTTTAGTTTTTTTATCACAATTTAAATTCAAATTTGAAAAGTTTTTTCTGTTTTTTGTTTCAATTTTGCATCTTTTTCATACAGGCGGAAAAGCAAAGTGAGACGAAAGAGCCGTTATAAAATGTTGAACGAGGATGATCAAGAGACTATGGAGTTAAAGTTACCTAGACCTGGTACTGACATGATCACTTTTGGGCAAATTATCTAATTATTTTAGCAATGTCATCACTGAACGATGTTTAAATTGAATTGATTACATATATATATATATATATATATATATATATATATATGTGTGTGTGTGTGTGTGTGTGTGTGTGTGTGTGTGTGTATATATATATGTATATGTATATGTATGTGTGTGTATATATATATATGTATATGTATATGTATGTATATGTATATATATATATATACATACATATACATATATATATATATATATATATATATAGAAAATACAATTAAATTCAAGCAAAATATTGAAAAAATTAAATACAACTTAAAAAATTTCAACAAAAATTATATATATATGAACATTTTTGTTGAAATTTTGTAAGTTGTAATTATTTTGTTTCATATTTTTCTTGAATTTATTGTATTTTCTTTCTATTTATAAATATGTTTGGTGACTAAAATATTATTTTAATAAATGAATCTGTTTCATAAATCTGTTTAATTTAAATGCACCAAAATACATTGCCTATATTCACTAAGAAACCTATGAAAATAATCATTTTCAAAATGGGTTGTACTCAATTATGCTGAGCTCTGTATATAAATATATGAGCAATTCCGTGCAAATGTCAACCTTGCCATAAAAAAATTACGTCTTCACAAAAATACAGAAACCGTTTCTGGGTTTTTTGTGTAAGCAAGTATTTTACAGTCCTTTAGAAACATTCAAAAATGCATCTATCAGTGTTTTCAAACTATTATATTTGATTTACTAAAGTCACACAAGTGGCATTTTCACACTTGTCGCATGCACAACGGAGAGATGTCACATCCAAAAACCACATTTCTTCCAACATTCTTTTTTGAGGCAGAAATTTCTGAACGTTAGGCACCACTTAAGTGTGAGGAAATATTTACATTTTTGTTTTTAGGTGAACTGTCCCGTTAAATTTAATGACATCTTATAATATTACAGTTTTTTATGTTTAAAAGCAAAACAAAAATTGCTGTGATTGGCCTTGAAGTTTATCAGTTCACCGAACTCAGCTGGTCTGTTTATAAGCTGAGATACGAGCAATCTGCTGATTAATCGCCTGATCTTCATGGCATTAATATGTTCCAGTGTCTCTGTATCTGTGGTTACACTCAGTAAACAGTGGTGAGTTCGGTGAACTGATGACCTTCACAGCCAATCACAGTCATTTCTGTTGAGCTTGTAAACACAACGGCAAATCAGCGCTGTTGAAGAATGCGCTCAACAGTTAATATTTTAATACCGATGGGTATCGAATTCCAGCATCGTGACAAGCTTACACAGTGGAAGCTTCTGTCACTAATGGAGGTAGATTTATCAGTTGTCCCAAAAAAAAACTCAAAAATGTTGTTGTTTTAGCTAATTTCACATAGGTAGTTTAAAAAAAGAGCCAATGAACCTGGCAATAAAGCTCTTTCTGATTCTGATTTTGAACTTGGCATTCAATTTGAAAGTCTTCCTTTTTTTATATCTCCTGCTGTTGTGTGCTCCTTCAGGTCGTCTGAAGTCTGTGCCAGCTCCCACATCTTCTGCACTCATGCACTCAGACTCTGATCTGGAAAGTGACGACGGTCAAGCAGGAATCCCCTGGTCAGATCGAGAGCGCGGGAAGCTGCTTCCACCCCAAAACGGATCTCTACGTAACGGCCAGGGTCCACATAAACCTAAAAAAACACGAGAGGAGCTGCTTTAGCACGGCTCCCGTACTGCACCAACACACTGTATTCACCCCTTATCTGGCACATGGAGGAACTGCAGGACTTCCGGAGTGAATTGAAGCGCAGCCCTGAGCCAACATGAGAAGGAATTAAACCCGACAGGTCAGATCTGTAAAGCCATGCAACTGAATAGGCAATGAGAATGTACCTGCTGTAGTGCAGAGATGGTGTCCGGTGAGTGAATATCTGAGAAACGTTTCAAAAACTGAGCCTCATCACTGTCATCTTCCTAAGAAGCTTCCCGCACTGCTGTAAATGTGTTTCTTACTTTAGTTTGTGCCTTGTTTTTAGTCCAAATATATAACAATTCTTAAATCAAGAAGCTTTTTATAGACGAGTACAAAATAGTGTTTTGTTTTTAGAAATCGTAAGTCAAAATTAAATTCGTTTACGCTAAATTATCTGCCAATGAGGTAAGAAAAAAAGCATTGTTTTTGGTTTACTTGGAGTGTTCATGAATGCGATCATGTTGTGGTTGTCATATAATCATGTTGTGCATGTGAATGAGATTTTATGCATGCTTATGGCAACTGTCCTTAAGTGTCATTCGCTCAGTTATGACATGTTATATGCAAAGATGACATTAGTAGGGTTGTCACGATACTGAATTCGGTACCAATCGATACTAACATTTTTAAAATGTCCATTTCTCGTTAACATTTGAGCGCGTTCTTAAACAATGCTGATTTGCCATTGTGTTCTCGTGCTCAACAGAAAAGATTGTGATTGTACGTGAAGGTGACTTCAAACTCACCGCTGTTTACTAAGTGTAACCGCAGATACAGGGACACTGGAGCTTTTTAAAGCTGTGATTCATCAGTGGTATGTCAGCTTATAGACAAACTAGCTGGTTGACGTGACTTTAAAATGCTCCAGTGTCCCTGTATCTGCGGTTCCACTCAGTAAACAGAGGTGAGGTTAGTGAACTGATGACCTTCACAGCCAATCACAGTCATTTCTGTTGAGCATGTGAGCACAATGGCAAATCAGCACCGTTTAAGAACAGGCTGAAATGTTACCGGGAAATAGACGTTTTTAAATTTTATAACAGCGTCACTAATATATATCTTGACCTCAACTATAATGGTACAAGCTGACTTCGACTTTATCAGCGTCATTAATATTTGATGACATATTAATATCATTAAATATTGAATTAATATCAATATATTTAAGTATTTGACAGAGTAATGACACTTTTAATGAGACATTGCAATTGTTTGTTAGTAGTGGTTGTCACGATACTGAATTCAGTACCAATCGATACTAACATTTTTTAAATGTCCATTTCCCGCTAACATTTGAGCGCTGTTGAGCGCGTTCTTAAACATTGCTGATTTGCCATTGTGTTCTCGTGCTCAACAGAAAAGATTGTGATTGTACGTGAAGGTGACTTCAAACTCACCGCTGTTTACTAAGTGTAACCGCAGATACAGGGACACTGGAGCGTTTTAAAGCTGTGATTCATCAGTGGTATGTCAGCTTATAGACAAACTAGCTGGTTGACAAGACTTTAAAATGCTCCAGTGTCCCTGTATATGCGGTTTCACTCAGTAAACAGAGGTGAGGTTAGTGAACTGATGACCTTCACAGCCAATCACAGTCATTTCTGTTGAGCATGTGAGCACAATGGCAAATCAGCGCTATTTAAGAACGTGCTCAAATGTTAGCGAGAAAAAGACGTTTTTAAAATTCCAGTATCATGACAACCCTATTTGTTATGACAACTTGACATAAACAAATACATCACATTCTGTTTTTGACTTTGTCATGAGTTCTTGACATTTCCAAGATTACAAAACTTGCCATAAATCTGTCATGAAGCCATTATAAATGTGTCATGATTTTTATAACAGCATCATTAATCTATATTTTAGACCTCAACTACAGTGGTACAAGCTGAATTTGACATTAAAATGTCATAAAATATTAATGACGCTGTTAAAAAAATTTGACAGAGTAATTACACTTTTAATGAGACATTTCAATTGTTTGTTATTAGTGTTGTCAGAATACTGGAATTCGGTACCAATCGATACTGAAATTAAAAACGTCCATTTCCCGCTAACATTTAAGCACTGTTGAGCACGTTCTTAAACTGCACGTGAAATTGACATTTTAAAAATTGTCATTAAATAGTAGTGATGCTCTTAAAAATGATTTGACGGAGTAATTACACTTTTAATGAGACATTTAAATTGTTCGTTATTAGTGTAATCAATACTGAAGTTTTAAAAACGTCCATTTCCTGCTAACATTTAAGCGCTGTTGAGCGTTTTCTTAAACAGCGCTGATTTGCCATTGTGTTCACCAGTGCTTTACAAAAATGACTTTGATTGGCCCTGAAGGTCATCAGTTCACCAATCTCACCGCTGTTTACTAAGTGTAATCACAGATACAGGGACACTGGAGTGTTTCACTCAGTAAACAGCAGTGAGTTCAGTGAACTGATGACCTTCACGGTCAGTCATTTTTGTTGAGCAGGTGAACACAATGGAAATCAGCGCGATTTAAAAATGCGCTCAATTGTTGGCGGGAAATTTACTTTTTTAAAATTTCAGTACCGATTGGTAGCAAATTATATCCTAAAATATCGTGACGACTCTATTTGTTATGACAACTTGACATAAACAAATACACCACATCCTGTTTTTGACTTTGTCAAGATTACTTGACATTTCCAAGACAGCAAAACTTGTCATAAATCCATCATCAACATTACTGTCATAAAGCCATTATTAATATGTCAGAAATTTTATAACAGCATCATTAATCTATTTTTTGACCTCAACTAAAGTGGCACAAGCTGAATTTAACATTAAAATGTCATTAAATAGTAATGACGCTGTTAAATTTTTTTTGACGGAGTGAAGACGCTTTAATGAGACGTTTCAATGACAAATACAGTGAAAACGTGATCAGAAAATATTCATTATATTATATTATATTATATTTATATTTTATTATATTATATTATATTATATTATATTATATTATATTATATTATGTTATATTATGTTATATTATATTATATTGGCTTCATGACAATCATGTTTATGACAGATTTATGACAAGTTATGTTGTCTCGGTAGTGTCAAGTTGCCAAAGACCGGTTGTAATGTATTTGTGTATGTCAAGTTGTCATAACAATGTCATATTTGCATTTAAAATGACATTACTGAGCGAATTACACTTAATAACAGTTGTTATAACCATGCATAAAATCCCATTTACATTCCTGACTTGTCATGTAATGATTATAAAGGTTTCATGACTAATGAAAATCTAATAAACACCCTATTCAAGTAAAGCAGGGGTGTCCAAACTCAGTCCTGAAGGGCCGGTGTCCTGCATAATTTAGTTCCAACTTTCTTCAACACACCTGCCTGGACGTTTCTGGTTCAGGTGTGTCTAATTGGGGTTGGAGCTAAACTTTGCAGGACACACTTACTTACAGATTATTTAGCTTGTTTTAAGAACAAACCTCTGACTTATTATGTCTAATAACAAAACTATTTCTCATTTGACTTGTCTAGATATAAAATGCTTCTAAATTTAAGTATTTTAACAAATTTGGACTAGAAACGAGACAAAAACTCAAGTAAACAAATCATTTTTTGCAGTGTGATATGACAGGCATCCAAACACTACTGCCTGTCACGTCTGTTCATTTGTATATTTTTACATGATAATAATAATGCAGAGAAATGAGTCCTGGGGCACCCCAGAAATGCCATGTATGACTGCATGAGAAATCAAGATTTTGGTTTCTATCTTCTCACTTTTTTATGGTTTGCATGTATAGAAATGTGCGTGTGCTACTTTGCTGTATGTCAGAGGTGCGTTTTTGCCCCTTCGAACACCAGCAAACGAGACGCCTGCAGCATTATAGCCATGTTCATCAGGGCTTCCTGTAATCTTAAGGATGGAAATCGTACACTGGAAAATGCATTGGGTGTTGCACTATAGAGCTAGCTGCTAGTTTTTACCCCCCTCTGGTTTTGATATTGAATATAAACAGGACGGGGTCTGGCTCGCTCAAGCTGGAATAGCCACCAAATCCATAGATCATCTTTTGTTACACTTGCCAAAAGCATTGTGTGCTCTCTTTGGCTTTCTGATGATGCTTTCTGTCAGAATTCGTCAATTGGTTTTGTTAGGGAAAGGCTGAATGTTATTAATGACGTGTGTGAGATTTATTTTGATGTTTCCCCACTCACATCGGAGTCTTGCACATTTTGAATGCATGAGGGGGAAATAAAGGGATTTTTTATTTTTAATTCATTTTTGTTTTCCTTCGGATGTTTTTAATGAAGAATTCCCTGTTTCATGTGACTTGTTCTAATTCGAGTGGAATAAATAAAAAGGAATATATTTACAGCTGACTTTATTTGTCATTGGACAATAAAGGAAAGGCAACCAAAATTCGCTTTGGATAAAAGCGTCTGCTAAATGACTAAATGTAAATGTAAATTCAAGTTCATTTGTATAGCGAATTTTACAATAAATATTGTTTCATTGCAGCTTTACAAAAGATGCACATTATTACGTTACAATCAAATATAAGTTATTATATTCACACATTATTAACCTGCAGTTTTGTAGCATATATATATATATATATATATATATATATATATATATATATATATACACACACACACACACATACACACACAATTGAAGGCAGAATTATTAGTCCACCCCCCCCCCCCCCCCCCCCCAATTTCTGTTTAACAAAGAGAAGATTTCACATTTCTAAACAAAATAGTTTTAATAACATTTCTAATAACTGATTTATTTTATCTTTGCCATGATGACAGTAAATAATATTTTACTAGATATTTTTCAAGACACTTCTATACAGCTTAAAGTCACATTTAAAGGCTTAACTAGGTTAATTAGGTTAACTAGGCAGGTTAGAGTAATTAGGTAAGCTATTGTATGTAGATGGTTTGTTCTAAAGACTATCGAAAAAAAATTTGCCTAAAAGGGCTAATAATTTTGTCCTTAAAATGGTGTTTAAAAATTTGAAACTGTTTTTATTCTAGCCGAAATAAAACAAAAAGGACTTTCTCCAGAAGAAAAAATATTATCAGACATACTGTGAAAATGTCCTCACCCTGTTAAACATCATTTAGGAAATATTTCTAAAAAGTAATAAAAATTCAAAGGGGGGCTAATAATTCTGACTTTAACTGTGTAAATGGATGGTTTGCCCAAAACTTTAATTTCTATCATTATTTACTCACTCTTTACTAGTCACAAACACGTTTGAGTTTCTTTTTTCTGGTAAACACAAAACATATATTTTGAAAAAAGCTAGAAACCAGTAACCATTGACTTCCCTTGTATTTTTATTTTCAATGGATGTCAATGGTTACCAGTTTTCAGCTTTAATCAAAAGAGCTTCATTTGTGTCCAGCATGAAATAAGACACTCATACAATTTTGGAACCACTTAGGGGTGAGCAAATAGTGAGTACGTTTTCATTTCTTGATGAACTATCCCTTTAACTGAAGCTTAGTGGGGAAAAAAAGCAGTCACTTGTACTTCATAAACCAGTAACCATTGACTTCTATAGTATTTTTGTTTTCAATGGATGTCAATGGTTACCCGTTTTCAGCTTTAATCAAAATAGCTTTATTTGTGTCCAGCATGAAATAAGACACTCATACAATTTTGTAGCCAATTAGGGGTGAGCAAATAGTGAGTACGTTTTCATTTTTTGGTGAACTATCCCTTTAACTGAAGCTTAGTGGGGGAAAGAAGCAGTCACTTGTAATTCTGTGTTTGCAGATCAGAATTGTGACACACACCAACACTTCCTGTTTGGGCAACAAGGATCTAAATCTTATATTTATCTTCCCCCTCAGGCTCCAGAAATACTTCAGAACTGCCTGTGTAGACAGGACAGGAGGAAACTGATAAGTATTTTTCCCCAAGTAAAAGATAAAAATATATAAAACACATTCAGGAGAAGGTTATAAAAGAAAGGAGACATAAGTTACATCAACTGCGTATTTGCAAAGAGGAAACCAACATAAAAATGGGGAGGTGTTACAATAATATAGAAGTGTACACACTCACCGGCCATTTTATTAGGTACCCCTACTAGTACCCCTTTCCACCACATCCCAAAGGTGCTCTATTGGATTGAGATCTGGTGGCTGTCGAGGCCATTTGAGTACAGTAAAGTCATTGTCATGTTCAAGAAACCAGTCTGAGATGATTCACGCTTTATGACATGGTGTGTTATCCTGCTGGAAGTAGCCATCAGAAGATGGAGACACTGTGGTCATAAAGGGATGGACATGGTCAACAATACTCAGGTAGGCTGTGGCGTTAACACGATGCTCAATTGGTACTAATGAGCCCAAAGTGTGCCAAGAAAATATCGCCCACACCATTACACCACCACCACCAGCCTGAACCGTTGATACAAGGCAGTAGGTCTGTATGATTAATAGGCACTAAATAAATATTGTTTATGGATAAAAGATTTGATAAAATAGAAAAAGTTGAAAATAAAGCTGATTCAACTAAACTGAATCAGAATTACGTCACAGTTGTTCGTGGCAGATTGAAGAAATCCTGAACATTATACTAATAATCAACTGGAGGAGAGTGTAATCAGAACAATATGCAAGTGTGTATAAATAAATTAGGAGCATTACAGGAAAGCTATCTAAACCTAATCATGAAATGTAGGGACTGAACAAATAAATATTGATAAAATAGAAAAGTAAGAAAAATAAACAAAACTTTTTATTTATTATAAACTTTGAAACATTAATTAAACTAATAATACAAATTCAGATATAAACTATATCCAGGAACATTACAGGAATTGCAAAAACACAACCAGAAATGATAATGAAGCAAAAACATAACAGGTGTTTTGTAATACAAGTATTACAAAATACTTCATTCATTCATTCATTCATTCATTTTCTTGTCGGCTTAGTCCCTTTATTAATCCGGGGTCGCCACAGCGGAATGAACCGCCAACTTATCCAGCAGATTTTTATGCACCGGATGCCCTTCCAGCTGCAACCCATCTCTGGGAAACAACCACACATACACTCATACACTACGGACAATTTAGCCTACCCAATTCACCTGTACCGCATGTCTTTGGACTGTGGGGGAAACCGGAGCACCCAGAGAAAACCAACGCAAACGCAGGAAAAACATGCAAACTCCTGACTGAAACACCAACTGAGCTGAGCTGAGCCCCAGCGACCTTCTTGCTGTGAGGTGACAGCACTACCTACTGCGCCATTGCATCGCCACAAAATACTTCTATACATATAAACAAAAATAATAACTTAGGATAAAATCATCGACTGCAGCGGGGATCAGTACCAGAGAAACATTCCTTCATGAAATCTAACATTAAGTCACTCTTTTTTTTGTTTTTAATTTGCATTAGAGACTCTTTCAAAGATTCCATTTCTAATAAAAATATATTGCAGTTTTGTATACATTTAGAAAATTTCTATTTGTGAATAAAATATTTACCTTGTAAGATATAAACATTAATGACGTACTCGAATGTTCTATAGTGTGTGTGAAAAAGAGCAAATGATTTCTTTTAAAGAGAGCCTGTAATCAACATTTCTTTGCCCAAATAACACGTCACTAACGTCATTCCAAAATTTAAGAGAGACATCACAGTTATACAGATGAGAGGAGTCTTCCATGAATTTAGATAAAATTACTTTGCAAGGATACATTTTGTGAAATATTTTAAAGTGCACTACTTTAACCTTATTTAAAAGGCAAAATTTAAACGGGATTGATCGGGTAGCTTTCCAATTAATATCAATAATTTTTTTCATTCCAATAATATTTCCCTCTAGGGGATAATAAATCTTTTTTTTAAAATAACTTTTATTTAGAAAAGAAGAAATTTACAATATAAATCAGGAAGTAGAAGAATGAAATACAAGAGTATACAATTACACAGTGATAAGAACAATAAGTAAAAAGAAAAGATTAATAGAAAGAAAATAAAAGAGAGAACAAGATGAGGAAAGGGGAAGTACAAAATTAAATTAAATAAAAAATACAGAAAGCATTAATTACTAATATACTGCAAGCATGATATTTTCACAAGTTTCTATTAACTTGCAGAATTTTTTGTTGTTATAGACGTATAGCTTTAAGCATGGAATCAATTTCAATAAAAAAATGGGTAAACGAGGGAGAGGATTTAAGAAATTTTGTTTGTGGATAAAGAATTTTGCATAAAAAAGTAATATATATATATATATATATATATATTTATTTTCTTAATTTTTGTTCAACAAATAATATCTTTCAGTTGAATGATTTGTTTTGTTGATTGGGATTTACTCAAATAATTCTATAGATCAGACCATTTTTAATGAGATTTTACATGTAAAAAACATGTAAACAAAGTTTCCTCATTTTCCTGACAAAAGGAACAAGTATCTGCAATATCAGTACATTTTGAGATAAATGCATTGGCCGGGTATATTTTGTGTAGAATTTTAAAATGGATTTCATTTGCTTTGTTTGGGATTACATATTTATATTGGAGAAGCCGTGTTCTTTTCCAATCAATATCCTCTATTAATGCTGACCAATATGATTTCCCTCTTGGAACAATTCGATTTTTTTGTTGTTGGAGAATTCGAGGGATAAGTTTGTTGTTGCATTGCTTATCATACACACTAATACCTTCTAATAATAAAGAGGGTTCTATGGTTTTTGGCTTATATATGAAATATGATTTTTGTTAGATGCATTACTTCTTTTGGGATAGCATTTACAATAATGCAAATTTCTTGAATGGGATTGGAAATTGATGAATTTTTATAAACTGCTCATAAGTTAACAAGTTTTCCAAGTCATCAAGGGGATAATAAATCTGAAAACTAAGCACTTTCATAATTACGTCACATTTCCTCATAGCGGACTGGGGGAATTCTGCACATTATATCATATCAGCTTTCCATAATGTAACGTTAATCATAACTATAAACTAATTCGTTCTCAGGCTTGAGTGTTGAATCTTCCTGTTCCTGTTTTTCTCTGTTTCATCTCTCCATCATCACACACTCCTTCTCTCTCTCTCTTTCTCTCCTTTGTCCTTATAAGGAAGTGGAGCAGTTGGTGGAGTTTGGGCGGAAACGGCGCGCAGTGACAGCTGGGAACTTCAACACGCTCATACAGGAAGAGAACGCAGACGGAGAGCCGAAACACACCCATACAACATCCCAACTAAAGCAGGACCACCGGAACATTATTCACACGGCGACGGTAAGCAGAGCACGCGGAATGCATTGTTTACAGGATTACATATCTATGAGGAACGACTTGCCGGCGGAAATCTGCGCAAATCATGACAACTGAAACGGGCATCGCTCGCAATATAGCTGTAATACGTGCATATTACATACAGTGGCATTATGCTTTGTATGTTTATTATATATCTGTGCATATGTGTACATTTCATATCAGCACTGAAACGCGTCGGTTGGAAAAGTTCCTGATCTTGCAGAGCTCAGCGGTTGTGATGGGAAGTCTCTTTTGCGAATCGGTTCCTTTGAACACTTCGAAATGTTAAACGATTCTTTGGCGGCTTTAACGTTACATAATTTTCATTTTTCTTTTAGCGTCTGCGTTTATATATTTAACCCATAAATGTTTAATTATCATATATTTTAGCAAGAGATTAAAACCTAGCATATTCATTATTGTTGGTTTTCGTTCCTGAGTTGATTAGACTTGAAACTGACTCAATGAGAAACCGATTCACTCAGAAGATCCGACTCGAATGAACGCTTAAAATCGCATAGACTGCGAATGTAGGAAGTGGGGCGGGCGTCAAGTGCAGGAAATCCAAACACAAGCTCGTCGTGGACGATATATTGCTTCCGTTTTCAGGTTATTTTCTATAAACAGTCGCTCTTTATTGTGTGAACGAGCTCGCGAGTGTGGCCCCGGCCGGCCTGATTATTCAGTCAAATCACATCACATCACATCACATCACATCTCTTGGCTTGCCTCCTGCCTCGTATCCTATTGCAATCCAATTAATGGCTTGATTTCCTGTCAAGAAACACAGTGAGCGTGTATTGTGTCGCGTGTTTTTTATTTTAATGAATGTGGCACAGCTCATCCTGCGCTATGCCGAGAATGGATGTGATCTGGCCTAGTTTTGAAGCATAAATGACCTGTTTTGTGTCCAGAAGCACAGCTTGCTGCAATATACTTGAGGTTTGAATGTCGCCTCAATATACTGTAGTTTTATCGTGATTTGTGTATCTTTAGGGTGTTGCCTATACAATTTAGTGCAGGTGTGTATTGCAGAGCTGCTGTACTAAACTAAAGCAAACTATTGCCTTCAAGGGTTAGTTCACCCACACATGTAAATACCTTCACCTTTTGATCAATCTCAAGTCCTTCTGTTGAACACAAAGTCAGGTATTTTGAAAAATGTTGTAAACTAAAAAAAGCAGCCCTTGAACATGAAATAATATTGAAGTTAATGGCAGTTTTTTTTTCTTTGTGTTCCTTTGTGTTAAACTGAACTCAAACAGGTTTTTATTAAATGAAGGGAGAGTCAAGGATTGCAGAATATTTGGGCCAACTATCTTTCTAAGTTTGTCTTAATGCTTCACCTAGTGAAGTTCAAGTCAAAGTTGTGGCCGTTTTTTTCTCTGAACTGCAGCTTTATTTCTTGCATTTTTGAGAAAAATTAATATTTTTATCCATTTCTCAGTGAATATAGGTGATATATTTTGGTGCATTTAAACAAAACAGAATTATTACAGATATATTTATTCAAATAATATTTTAGTCACCAAACATATTTAGAAATTGAAAGTCAATACAATTAAATTCAAGCTATATATATATAAAATTATCAACTACAAAATTAAGTGTTTAAATTTTTTGCTGCATGATTTTTTTTTTCCTCTTTTAAATTTTTTTTTTTTTTTGTGACATATATTTATTACTTTTTTCAATTTGCATATCACAACAGATTACACATTTCCAGAATAATAGTCATGAAGACACAGCAAATTTTTTACACCATATTCTCCCTTTTCAGGAATCAAGGAATTTCAAGAAGTTATTAAAAGGTCTCCAGATATCTTCAAACACTTTTTGTTTCTTTTTGACGATGTATGAGATCTTTTCCATTGACAAACTTGACTCCATGTCTTTAATCCACTTTTCAATTCTAGGTTCATTTACATATTTCCAATCACGAGCAATAATGCGTTTAAAAATCTTACAATCCAAACTCTTTTTTTAAAAATTTGTATTTAATATTTTCATAACAGAAATTTGGGTGTAGAGTTTTAAATTAGCTTCAAATTTGGCTTCAGTACTGACTGATCTAATGTATATGCACAGATATAATATTGTAAAGCTTCCTATTTATAATATGAATTCAACAGGTAGATATGTAAAGGGTGTACTTGTGTATGCTGAGCACTGTATAAACCTTTAGAAATCACTAGTTTTGTCCTCTTCAGTGCAGTATATCTTGCAAATCTGATTTTTTTAACTAAGTTTGTGTTGCTATTCTAAAATAGACATGAACTTATGCATCAGTAGAAACAATTAGACCCTCAAAAAGATTTAAAGTTTGGCAGAAATGTTAAGTTACATTTTTTTTTTTAAGATCTGAGGAAGGAACAGGCTTCAATTAATAACAAGTAACCCAGAAAAATACATTTTAATAATAAATTTGAAGGCAACCCAAATTGATTATTTAGTTAGATTTTTTTTCTTTCTAAATGGGTGATAGCTTTAGTAACTCTTATAATAATAATAATAATAATAATAATGTTGAGATGGCTAGATGGCTGTTTCAGAATAATTATTGCCTCTTGTGAACACCAGGATCCAGTCTAAAACACAAGGCAATTTGACTAAACTAATTTGAATGTGTATATATTTTCTTACAATATGGGAGAAAGAAAAAATGGCGAAAGAACAAATTTGACTCTAGTTTGACTTCAGCCTGCGTGTGCACTTCTGCCAGAGCTGCTATCTTTATTACATTTGGCCAAAGTTGAGATTCTGCTGACTGTTTGTATGATTCGCTCATGTGTTTTTATTTCTTCAACAGCGAATTTGCATCTGTAATTTATTATGTATTTTTTGTCCTGTGTAATCAAGTGTTTCGCTCACTCCAGCCTCAGTCAGGCTGCACAATTTATCGTTTCTGCATTGATATTGTAGATTCTGCAATGTGACCACTGCAGATTCACACATTGCAATATCAAGTTGGGATTTTTTATATTTATATCTATATAGGTGTTATTTTTGCATTTGGTTATTGAATGTCTGTACATTATTACTGTTAAGACTTAAAAAAATATAAAAAAAATTATTTATTTAAAAATGTATTTATTAAAATCTATTTATTTATTTATTTATTTCCATTTTCATCTGTGCTTAAATTTGTTTATTGTATTTTGCCTATTTTTTGATAATTTTGTATTTTTATGCAGATGTGCTCCCCTACAAAATCATCCCAACCAATGTAAAACTATGCATTCTTTCCAAATAGTTGCTCAAGTCATGTTGTGGAATTTTTATTAATATCGCAATATATCGCAGAAAAGCAAAACATTGCGATGTCCGTTTTTTTTTTCCAGTATTGTTCAGCCCTTTGTCCAATATTGTGCAATCCATAGCCACTTGTGCCCACAGAGGAATCGGTTCTTGTTTTAATAATCAATATGAAATTACTTTATTACTTTATTTACTTTATCAATTTCATCCTTGTGTGCTGTTGGGGATGTTTTCATCCACTCTGAGGTGATTTTGAGTCTTAATTTGGCCACTAGTTACTTTGTTTCTGCAAACTAAGGGCACTCTGGGCAAATTGACTCCCCTTTCAATATGTTGGTGGCTGTTTTTGCCCCATTGGCCTCCATTTATAATAACAGTTTTGGATTGCAAAGCCATGACACCATATAATCATGCATTCATGATTGTAAGTTTTCCCTGTTGGAAATGTGCAATTTTTTTTTTACTGGGGGTGATCATCAGTTTCAGTGCCAAAAAATAGCTTGATTTCTTTGTTATAAAGATTATAGTGTGTGTGTCTGAGAGGGAGACCTTTGCACACTTATCTTGATATGTCTGAGAAAACCACAAGCACATGATCTCTTACACTGTAAAAAGTGAAAACTTAAATTAATTTGACCTGTTACAATTAAATTAATTAAGTTTGACTTAATTTGACAGTTTTCAGAAATTAAATATTAAAATTTTAAATATTTATTTAAGAGAACAATAATAAAAAACTACATACAGTACAAATAATTTTCTTCCCATGTTAATATAATAATAATAATAATAATAATAATAATTTTGTTTTGTGGCAAGTACATTGTTTGCTATTAATAGCAAACTATACGTTTAC